TACCTCTGGAGCCATTGGCTAACAGCACTTCTCACGACCGGCTGAGGCAAAGCCTCATCCCCCTGTCCTTGTCTGTTAATCATTGCTTCTGGCCAAGCTCCTCTGTTTTTTGCCGTGGCAACTTTTCCAAACTAGCTTGCTCTCGATTTATAGGCCGGTTTCACTGCAGTGAGTGCCAAGGCGGCTACATGCCCGCTATGCGCTGAGCCCGCTCGCGCCGCGTGCAATTGAATTATCATTACCACTTACCACTGCTACTACTACAACAACAACTCCCACTACTATTATTACTACTACTAATACTATTATTACTACTACTACGACGACGACGACTACTACTACTACCACTACTACTACCTCGACGACGACGACTACTGCTACCAGTACATCACTGCCAGCTAGTGGTCGTAGTAGTAGTAGTAGTAGTAGTAGTAGTAGTTGTAGTAGTAGTAGTAGTAGTAGTAGTAGTAGTGGTAGTAGTAGTTGTAGTTGTAGTAGCAGTAGCCGTCGTAGTAGTCGTAGTAGTCGTAGTAGTCGTCGTCGTAGTAATAGTCGTAGTGGTGGTAGCAGTCGTCGTAGCTGTAGTGGCAGCAGCAGCAGAAGCAGTAGCAGCGCAGTGGTTACAGCGGAGGCAGTTGTAGTCCGTTCCGCCGACATCGGAAGGTGCTCAAATCCCTCGAGGACGGTGTCGGTGCGCAAGACCCGGCCCTCGACCAGACTCGCCGGAGGCTTAAGGATTGGCCCCAGTATCGGGGAATGGCCCTTTTCTGCTGCTTTCCGGCTTGACAAGCTTTCCCACCGCCGTGACTTCGGGGTGTACAGTCAGCAGCGAACGGTTGACCTACCGAGCACTTGACCCTGTGTTTCTCTCAGGTTTCAAGGCTTCTAGTCCTCCAGCATTTCAGTTGAAAGCATCCGGCACTCCGCTTAGAGTCAACATGCATCTCGGAGCTCGTCGGGCTGTTTCCTCTCGCACTGTCGCAAAGAATGGAAACCAGTAGCGAGCTTGGAAACGTTCCGTCCTGGAATGGATGCAGGTCTTAATCCTTTTGGGGCTCATGTCATGCTTCCTACCTTTGACGAATAGCATTATTTCTCGGCAACCGAGGCTACGCAATTACCGTGCTGAAGAACCACTCTCAGAAGCGATGCAAAGTTATGCAAGGCTCACAGATCATATATGGGGAGTAGGTTCAGAACTCCGCAACCACCCTCCCATATCTCGGAGAGTCCCAATGCGAAGGCTGCATCCCGAAATATGCCGCCAGAAACAGAAGACCTCCCAAATCTCACGAAGATCCTCACGACTGGCCGAGGAGCAACAGTTGGGTATGGCCGCGGCTTCTGGTCTACACGCTCTGGAGCACTGGTGGCTGGGCTGGGATGTCGGCGTCTACCTGCTGTAGCATTTTATTTCCGGGTTTTCGGAGGCTGGTTTGGCTTGCCTTCGCCTTCTCATGTTTTATCGCCGTGCTTGCTCGTCACAGCTCAACTTGCCTTTGCCTGTTCCGGTGGACAGAGTTTCCCCGAGTCCAGCATGGAGACTCGCAAGTACCGCTCACAAGCATGAATAATGCCCGAAGGCCAAGAGCAAGAGCCAAGGTACCGTGGGAGGTGCTATAGTAAGAAGGAGCATAGCACGCAACGGCTCGTTGTCAGCGTCGCCATCGTCGTCCTTGGCAGGGGTACCTATGAGCATGCCGCATTCATCCGCCAGATTCAGCTGTGTCCTTCTTCATGTGTGAATTTACAGGACACTTTTCCGTTCTCCACTTCTTCTTCACCGTCTGAACCGTATGGACCATCAGAACCATCAGACTGAGAATCAGAGTCACCGTCCGCATGTCGTCGAGTTTGGAGCTTTGTCTGCCAGATGCTTTGTCGCATTGCAGCATTCCACAAACGCGCAGCCCTGCACCCGCTTGATACCTCATATCGAATGTCAGATTATCGCAGCCTTTACAGCAACCCTTCCAATGTCCCACTTGGCGACCCCTGTAGTAACCCTTACTGTAGAGTAAGAACCCTTGTTGTAGCTGTTGTATGACAGAACTCCCAAAACGAGCTCTGAGGCGGCAGCCGTGGGATTTGTGGCCGCCACGTGGCTGGCGGTCCAATGCTCGGATGTCAGGGTTTTATGGGGTTTTTTGTGGGGCAAAGTGGGTTTTATAGAGTCCATTAGGTTCTTCAGGGGTCTCACAAGGGTCTTTTCCAGGGCGATGAGGTGACAGGGTGTAGGGGTGCTGGGGTGTTCTACTACAAGTTTGAGATCCTTGATTCTGGGCCCTTCTAGTGCAAGGATCCTGCGTTTTTTTGGGGCTGGAAGAGGATGGAAAAATGGGATTTTAAGAACACTAACGTATCGCGACAAAGACAATTAGTCTAGCCCCATTTTTCGAAGCCTCCAAATGCTCGTGTTGTGATGCACCTGCAGTCCCGAGTCTTTCTGGAAACCGCTCCTGTGGCATATGCGTGCAAGAAACAGGTAGCGGCCAACTTGTACTGGGCACCAGAATTGCTTAGGCTTCCACAGATTTTTCTGTTGCATCAGCCGCGGGCTTTTGGCGACTAAAGCGTTCAGAATCAACTGCCCCTGGTTGCGCAAACATCCGGGGACCTTATTTGTGCCATGAGCTCAAGCTGTGCACCTACGAAAAACATGAAAGATGCAATCCAGGGTTGATGGTTTAATGAGCTCGCCCGAGCCGATTCTTGATGAGCGTGCTGGCCAATATTTGCAGCTTAGGAACCCGAGTTTGCAAGAGCAAGAGCAAGAGAGAGAGGGAGACAGCGGATGTAGTTCACTTTCTGCAATCTAAGGTCGTTCGTCAGACCCGAAACTCTACAATCCAAGGTCATCTGCCTAGCAACTGGATTCTGGATGGCCGTTACCACAGGATGGCGCTCGGACGCCCAGGAGCTTGTTTGAAGAGGTTGGTTTGGGCCTGCTGTTCTCGGCTTGGGCTCTAGAGAGCAAGACTTGGCATGGCAGCTGCTCCGAATCTCTACCTGCTTCTGCGTGGGGGTTATGTTCACGCTTTGGGGCTGCTGGGCACGAGTCTGGGCGAGATGTACTTGCGCTGAGACAGCCATACTGCAAAGTTGCATGTTGGTGGGCACCGCAACCCCTCAACCCTAGGGCAGAAAGCCCTTAATAGACCTAAAGCATAGCTTGGGAGGACGCTAAACCTGAAGCCCGCAACCCCGCAACTCCTGCAACCCTCAGCCAGAATAAACCGTAGCCCTAAGCACCAAGCCTTCACCCGGTGTGCATTGCTTGCCAATGCCCAGGCGAGAGCAAGGGCAATGTGCGCTCGGCCGTTGAGGTGCAAGAGGTCTTAGGTTCAGGGTTCAAGGTTTAGGGCTTACATACGACAATTATAATTGTTGTTGTTATTCATGCTTCTGTCGTCTTCTATCATTACTAATTATTGCTGTCTGAGACACGGTTACCATCGTTGTACGTCTCTACTACCATGATTAATACCATTACGATTGCCATTCCTGGTGTTGTTTGTGGGGCTCTAAGGCAAGACTACTTGCGCGGCGGAACAGCCGTAGCCCCCCCCCCCCACTCTCCCTTTCACATTTTGGGTCAAAGTCGTGCTTCTAGTGCTATCTGGGTCTGAAATGCGCAATACCTTTGGGTTACTTTTTTGCTGCGCCCCCGAACCCTATCTAGCTTCTGCTATTAAGGCTGATTCGGACGGCACGACGACGACGACGACGACGACGACGACGACTACTACTACTACTACTACTACTTGCTTTTGCTACTGCTACTGCTACTGCTACTGCTACTGCTACTGCTACTGCTACTGCTACTGCTACTGCTACTGCT